GTGAACTAGGCAATTCAGATAAGATATTAATAGAAAGAGTTCATGTCTTACTCATCTTTTTTGTAAGTGACATAATTTTTAAACAATACTCATTCTGGGAGATCTAATCTCATGAAAACAAATACTTCTAGCTTGAGTTCTTTGGTCTTTGACTGACTAACATTAATAAAATTAGTTTCATGTTCAACTATACTAGAAAATATCAGGGGAAAATCCCCAGGTACTTGTTTCTGTCAGTGAATTAACACTTGCATAGCTTTTAAATTAATTGTTTGGTATGCTCATTACTCTTAGAAAAAATAAATACGTTCTCATTATGTTCACTTGGTGAACATATGTATCTTGCAATACATTTAATGTTACTTGCTGTGAGGGAGATTACAACTCTTTTTAAGGAAATTGGGTAGATTAATGGAATGGGGTGGGTTAAATTGCTCTCCATGTGCATTCCCTAGCATGCTTAGCCTAGTCCTGAATTTTAATTGATATATATAAAAGAGTTTAGCTGAGGATACTCTGTGAAGCAACTGGAGTAAAACAGGATATAATCTGTGTATTGCAGAAGCTGGGCTGGGTAAATGTGCTGCATGCGGAAACAAAGTGAGTAACACATGGTACCACATTTTGTGCCGGTAATCATAGTCTGCATGTGATCAGTTGCATTTGCAGCAGCTTCATTGTGTCTGTATGCATATTGATCTATGGTGAACTTCTGCAGGCATTTTGGGGCTGTTCATGATAATCTTCCCCAAGAAGCTAGAGAAAGTGGACAGAATCCATGAAAAGAGCAAATTACTACTTTGTCTTATTAAGAAGCCTATACAGTTTTAATACTACAGCCTGTGACAGAGCCTGAAGAGGGTTTTTCTGATCCTTATTGTGGCTTTGAATTACTGGTAACAAAGATGAGGGTTACTAAGGTTGGACTAGATACTCCCGATGCAACACCTTGCTAAGGTTATTACTTCTGAGGGGGTGGGTGGAAGAAAAAAGCTGAAGACTTCAAAGATAGTGCTTTAAAGAAAAGGCTTCAAAACCTGGAGTAATGCCATGGCATATATTTTTCAAAAATGATGCTAGACTAGCAGAATTTTTTGATAAGGGGCTTGAAGTTACTGCAGTCCCACCTATGATGTAAATTGTACTTTTTTTCCTTACCACCATCACCTCTCTGCCCACCTCCTCTCCCATCCCCCCATCCTGTCCAATGTTGGGACATTCCTAGTAAGCGTAGTACTTCCATAATTTTATATTATATTTTGCTGAATATGCATTTAATTAAAGATCAGATTTAATTGCAGTAGCTTCTTATGATTTCAGCTAAAAGCATAGCTTTATGAGACAGAAATAAAATGTGTGTGACATTTTTAATGAAATGAAATTTCTATACCAGATATTTGTGTTGGATCACCACAGAGCATGTGCCAAACCTTTCTTGATTTTCCCAAAAATGCTGTATCATAGAATCGTAGAATCATAGAATAGATTGGGTTGGAAAAGACCTCCAAGATCATCAAGTCCAACCCCTGATCCAACTCCAATTAATCAGAAACAGGACTCCCAGCACTGTGTCCTGTTCCAAATGACTGCCTTGAAATCACATATTTTTGAGCAATATTAATTCAAATTCTTGACAAATTACTTGCTATAATATAACATGCTGTTTTAAAACTTTTACAGCCTTTTCATTAATAGATGATAGTGAAGATTAGAGCTAGTATTTTTTGTGTAGATTTCTTAATCATAGCCTTTAAAGTAGAAGCTGAGCAATAAACATCTAATGAATAGCTTATGGCAAGTTTATTCTCAGAAGCTATGTTACTGTGTTGGCACAGATCAACATAACCATTTATCACTAAGTTCTCAAAATATAAAAATTGTAGCTATCACTTATATATGCTAGTCATTCTCAATGTACATTACGTATGAGTAGTTCATAGCATTTTATGATACTTGCAACCTAAATCAATATATTAGTCATAATGAATATATTCCCCTTTAGAAGGGAATTAAACCATTCTTTAATATTTTTTAGGATATAATATTTGTCTTTTAAAAGACATAAAAGAAATAATTGTCATGGGTTATTAATTAAAGGAATTCCTTAAGGTAGTTGTATTTGAGGGAGTCATCTGCAATATATATTGAATTGTGTTCTGTAAGGAAAGACCACTTGACTTTCTTTCTAAAGAGAAGTCTTTAAATTAATCTATGGAAATAGTGAAAGAAAGTATAATACTTTGGTGGTGCCCATAATCATCAGTGTTGTGCAAGGCTGCAAGCTTAACTCTGCTCTGCATGTTGTGCGGCTGTGCCACACGTGTGTACTCAACATGGGCTCAATTTACTTCTATGTACTTACTCATAACCCAATTTCTGTCTCCATCAACACAGTACCTAAACAGGTTTCTACAAAAATACAGCAGTATTATATTCTGATTTACAGCCATTAATGATCATGGATTTATACCTACTTTCTTTTTAATGAAATAGATGTAACCATTTATGTAAAACACTAAATATATAATTCATAGGTTTGTCATTACTATACAAATAGCATCTTAATGTGAAATCCAAAGTTCCTTGAGTCTTGCCCTTTCTACATTTGGAGAGATCAAACAAGAGCTCATCTGGCAAGACTGAGAATTTATGTAGCAAAATAGGCATGGGATTGGGACAAGCAAGATCACAGATACCCAAATAATTCTCTTCACCAATAAGCTCTCTCCCTGGTCAGGTGGCCAATGTGTTTGGGAGATTGGAGGTCTCAGGGTTCCTTTCTTGCATGTCCAGGGTGGTTTATTTTTGTTTAGCTGAGTGCAAACATTAAGTGTTAGTTGCAGTGCTCCCTCCAGAACGTTCTTCTCAGTAATTTTCCACTTACTGGTTGACCTACCTGAATTTATTTCTTAAATTTACTAAATGTCTGACTAACCATAAGCTGCAGAAAACCAACCAGGGAACAGAAATGAATAGAAAGAAAATACCATCACTAATCTTCCTTTCTGACAGTTTAACAGACCCAAAAGCATTTGCATTACTTTCCCATTTAGGTAGTTAACTTCTGAGTGGTTCTTAAACACCAGGGACCTCTAGCTAGGACAACCACCTTGGTCAGCAATCCAAGATTTAGGCAGATAGTGTATTGTTTAGGTAGTGGGAATATATGCAATTTTTATATTGTATATATGATGTAGTATCTTCTGTGACAGTTTTTATTTCAGATTTAATTCTGGGACATGCTGCGCTGCGTAGTCCTTTTGGATTTCTGCAACTGTTGCGCTTGGAGCCATGCTCCTGCTGCAGAATTCCAACAGGAGCAAACATATGGGGATTCTTCCGTCCTTGGCTTGCCCCACCATTTGTTCCACATTTTAAACCAACTGGTGCTGTACCCAGTGGAGTACATCTGTTACAGTTTATTACTAGAAATTTGCAATTCATTTCAGTTTGCTAAAATAATTATAATATTCATGGCCAAGAGTACTGCATTAAGCAATTACAAAAGAGAGGAGGCAAAATTTTGCTAAAGTGTATGTGTGATTCAGGACCTACTGCCCAGTTTGGGTGATTTGGGTGCTCAACAGCCTGTCACCAATGAGTCAGATGTGCTCTGACAGTTGAGTTTGATCATCTTGAGAAATTAAAGTAGCATCTGAGATGCTGTAAGTGACATCTCTTATGTGAATGTCCCTGCTCTGTTTTAATTAAGAATGAAATAAATTAGCATAAACCACTGAATGCATTTGGTACCACATCTTGCCTGAGGTACTCAGCTGGGGAACACCCAGAAATGGAGCAGTCTTTACTGCTGGAATTGCAGAGGCACATCTGATTATACCCTCTAACTCTTCCTGAAAGTCATCAGGAATGTATGCTACTAAATAGTCTATAACTTTTTGAATGTTATAACCCACTTTTTTTGTCTCTTTGTGCTTCAGGCAAGCTGGGAGTTACTGTATTGGGCTATGGTGTTATTTGCAGGTAGAATTTTCAAGGAGGTGAGATTTGTTTTGTGTGCAGAGTAAGTGTTAAATAGTTGATTAGGAAGTGACCCCTTTGCATTTAAAAAAATGTCCCCATGAACATCAACACAATAAAATCTTAATAGAACGGATTACATTTTCATCATTGTCACCCAACCAAGCCGACTTTTCAAATAAGGAAGCATCCTGATACAGTATTTGTAACTCCATCATACTCATCATGTTCATCCTCTGTTTCTGTAAGTCCATCTCGCACATCTTTGCCGTATAGTAACAGAGTAAGCACACTGTATTCACCACAGCGAAGAAGTATAGCGCTAAAGTCAAGTTTTTTTAAAGAAAGCTTACAAAACCAACCAGGAGTTACCACCAACAATATACCTGTTCTGGTTCTCCATCAGAGACCTGAGTCTGGATCTGTCACTTGCACACTATTCACACACAACCCTTGAATTAAATGAGATCAATTTTGCTACAGAAACCTGTTATTTGCCTGATTTGAAAAAGAGCTTGGCTTCCAAAAGGCTGATTTAATTTTTTGAGTTACACTAGCACAATGAGAGTATATATATAAAAAAAGTATAAAGACATTATAAACTTTGTTCTGCCTGTGATGTCAGACCACCACTGTCACTTAAACATACAGCTGTATTCCCAACATTTGTTTTTGTCCTTGCAAATAGAAGTGTTGTAAGAGAAATGGAGTTAACTCATCAGCTCACTAGATGTAGAAGCAGGTTTCTGTGAAGGGGAAGTTGGAATTTATACTGAAATGATGAAGCATCCATAAAAAATATTTTTGCTTTTTTTGCTTTACAAGTGTTACTTGAAATGATATGAGGCAGTATTATGTGTTTCTATATGCCCTACATAACAAATATCTGGGAATGGAAACCATTATCATGGCCACTAAATATAATTCTGTTTTCTAGCAGTCCTAGGAATGTCTTTACTCAAAATCTAAGTGGTGTGGACAATACAAATCTAAACAGATTCATAAGAAGTTGGGCTATAATGTTGAGTAGTTGTGGTTTGGTTTTGGATAGCACTGTCAATAAGTTTGTGAGGTGTGATTTGAGAGGCTTTGAACATTTTGGAAATTTAATCTATCTTTTAATATTTCCCCTTCTCTTTCTACAGAACATTCTGTCTTTAAATCCCCGAAAACAGTTGCATGCAACTCTTCATTCAACTGCATCAAAGAAACAAGTCAAGAAGCAATGGAAAAGGAATTCTGACAAAAGCTGTTCAGTAAGTGCATGTTTATTATTGCATCTGGAACATGCAATAAATCATTGAGGCTGAAATCTCAGTTATGTGAGAAATTAAAATTTGAGTTTCCTGTACTCAGGAGCCAAATTTGTCTCCTAGTTCTGTTCTTTTAGATACAAAGTTATTTTCTGTTCAGCTGTTTGCTTTTCAGAACCCAGTACGTGCTCTACCATTTTCCTTTTTGGTGATTTAGGAAGTCTTTGATGCTACTTTTCCCCTTTTGCTATGGAGTCTGATTCGTCTCAAGTATGACGCGGTATCACAGCTGGCTCACCACCTCCCGAGCCTTGCAGAGCCACTCGCTCTCCCTGGTAGCCAGTGCCAGCCGCCTCTTCCGTACCCTGCAGGGCTGCTGCCCACTTGCTCCTTTTCCTTCTGTTTTCCAAGAGTAACACTGGATAGAACACCACTTCACTAGCTTTTCTAAGGCTTTTAAAGGTAACTTTATTTCAGTACAAGAATAGGGGAACCCATCATATGTTTCTATTTTATATACATATGTGTGCATATATAGAGCTATGTATATATGTGCTATATATACATGACAATATGCATATATGTTATGTATAAATACATAAAGCTTGGATTAAAAGGTAGCTCTGGATTTTAAATTTTGTGCTTTGTTATTTTTCAGAAAATAGGTGGGTTTAGAATAAGTATTTTTTTTTTATGAACTGTCTGTATTCTTCAGTATTTCTGCCATTAGATATCATAATTTTCTCTCTAGGTATTTAGATTCCTCGTCCCAGTGTGATATTTGACTAATCCTATCAGACTTTGTTGTCTCTCTGATCTCTCATCTGATTAGAACGTTTGTAGTGTTTTTACTGTCTTCCTACAGATTCTTCCTCTGAATTCAGAAGTCTTTTACATAGAGTACTACTTCTTAATCTGCAAACTATTTCCCTTGTGGGTACAATGCTATGGTGTCTTTTCATAGCGTTGTCAATGCATCTTCTCCCACTAAGTAGGAATATTCAGGTTTGATAGTTGATACTTGTTTATTATTAAAAAAAACAAACAACAAAACACAAACCAAATCAAAAAACTGACAAAGTTCCTCAGTTTCTCAAAATTATGAAATCCAGTATGACCAACAAATGTTTGCTGGGAGGAGCAACTCAGGGTATCCTTAGCATTTCAACCATACTCTAGTATGATTTCCTGATTTATAGCATTGATTATAAGAATCCCTCTCTTACTAGAGCTATTATTCCTATTTTCTTATTTTATTTATTGGCTTAGATAATGTTATGATAACTGGAAACTAATGTACATGAAAAGCTTCTGTTTGTGAACAGGGATGATTATTTTGGGATGTCTGATGCAGTTATTGCCCACAGCTGTCTGTACCTGCTGCACAGATAGTTGAGCTGCTCAGCCAGCAGCTCCTGGACAGCTGCTTTGTTATGTTTTCAGATGACCTGTAATCAATACTGGGCTGTGAAGTCCTGTGTTTTCAGAAACTGTTTGTCAGGAAGCTCAGGTATCTGTGCAGCAGGGTAGCTACATGTCTGTGTAGTAACCTGATTAGCTGTTCCAATGTAAATTATCCTCGTTAAACTTTGAACTATAGCATACACATATATATCTTCCTAATGGGTGTGTTAGCATACATTTTCTAAAGCTTCTAGGCTTTAACATCACTCTTGCTTATCTCTGAGCTTTCCCACATATCAGCCTTTTTTTATTTTTGTATTCAGTTTATTCATGAAATGTTTGCTATTTGAAGGTTTTGCTGTTAATTGTGAAAGTGCATAGCTTTATAGAAATTGTCTCTCTTCCCACGTTCCTGCTCTTAGCTGTAGGTGTGTACCTCATGGTGTCTGAAATGCTGAAATGTTCTTGGGTTACCAAGGCCTGAGCTTCTTGGGCTGTGTAAACAACACTGATTTTGGGTTCATTACTAGCTTGTGTGCCTTGGCTGGATTTTCAATTGAAAGAAATTCTGAATGTTATCAAATATTGCAGGATGACATTTTGATATAGATTCACAGTCTAATAAACATCTTGGTTTTATAGTTCTGCATTACTGCATGGAGATCTGTACAGTTATTAGGACCCTGCACTGACAAGAGATCTGCTCATGTATTGCAACTTACAGGGTTAAAGGTTAGAGATAAGCAAATAGGTATATCTGTATATGTACCTATCACAGATAGGTTTTATACTGTGTATTATGAATTGTTTGGTAGAAATGTCACATTATTTAGTTTGCAAGTCAAGAAATATAAAATACTTGAAGAAACTGTAATGGGGTAATCCTTATTTTTAGGCCAGTAATGTTCCTAGTTTTTAGAACTGTCGAACTTTTCTTTACTCAGAAATATGTAGCTTACTCTTACTGGATGTATTGAGTTTGCATGGCTAGGTTTTGGTGCTGGAAGGGCATAGGGATGGCTTCTGTGGGAGGCTGACAGAAACTTCCCCTATGTCCAGCAGAGCCAATGCCAGTCACCTTCAAGACGGACCCACCACTGGCCAAGGTTGAGCCCATCAGTAATGGTGGTAACACCTCTGTGATAACATAATTAAGAAAGGGGAGGAGAAAAAAAAACCCTGCACATTTTGCAGCTGGAGAGAGGAGTGAGATTATGAGAACAACAATTCTGCAGGTCAGGGAAGAAGGAGAGGGAGGAGGTGCTCCAGGTGCCAGAGCAGAGATTCCCCTGCAACTTGTGGTGAAGACCATGGTGAGGCAGGCTGTCCCCTTGCAGTCCATGGAGGTCCATGGTGGAGCAGATGACCACCTGCAGCTCATGGAAGACCCCATGTTGAAGCAGGTGGATGCCTGAAGGAAGCTGTGACCCCATGGGAAGCCCGTGCTGGAGCAGGTTCCTGCCAGGACCTGTGGCCCCATGGAGAGGAGCCCACGCTGGAGCAGGTTTGCTGGCAGGACGTGTGACCCTGTGGAGGACCCACGCTGGAGCAGTCTGTTCCTGAAGGACTGCACTCCATGGAAAGGATCCAGGCTGGAACAGTTCATGAAGAACTGTCGTTCATAGGAAGGACTCATGTTGGAGAAGTTCGTGGAGGACTGTCTCCTGTGAGAGGGACCTCATGCTGGAGTGGGGGAAGAAAGTGAGGAGTCCTCCCCCTGGGGAGGAAGGAGCAGCAGAAACAATGTGTGATGAACCAACTGCAACCCCTATTCCCTGTCCCCCTGTGCCACTGTAGAGGAGGAGGTAGAAAATCAGGAGAAAACTTAAGCCCATGAAGAAGGGAGGGGTGGGCACAAGGTGTTTTAAGATTTGGTTTTATTTCTCATTATTGTCCTTCGATTTGATTGGTAGTAAATTAAATTCATTTTCCTCAAGTTGAGTCTGTTTTGCCCATGACAGTAATTAGTGAATAATCTCTCTCTGTCCTTATCTCGACCCACGAACCTTTTTGTTATATTTTTTCTCCTCTACCTACTTTAGGATGGGGAGTGATAGAGAGGCTTTGGTGGGCACCTGACATCCAGCCAGGGTCAACCCACCACACTGTACACCACACACAGCTTATTATTCTGGCAGAAAAAGCCCTACAAAACTAAAAAAAACCCAAAAAACTTAAACATTTATCTGGCATTTCATTACATAAAAGGCATTAGGGAAAAATGAGAGACTTTTTACATTCTCACTGTTGTTGAGTGGTCAAGCTGTAGCTGAAGTCCATAGTAAGTATACTTGTTTGCATTTCCTTAAAATCTGAATTTGGCTTTTAGCTTTGGATTCTTTTAAAGCTGTACTGATGCTGCCTTTGCAGAATTGCTGTTGGAGGGAAGGTGGGAGTATGAAAATACAAAACTAATTAAATTAACAGCCCTCAAAACTCCGAACAAAAGCTGCATCTGCTGAGGCATGCACACAGTGACTTTCTAATGTCTAATACACTTCCAGATGGCAGACTTACATATTTCCTCAGAATAATTACACAAGTGAAATTTTAACTCTTAGCCTGCTCTGAGACATGCCCATTAAATGAATTCTGAAGTGGAAACTGAGTGCCAATATCTTTCCTCAGCATGGAGATGCATTCTTCTTAAGGAAGGTTCAGTTTTCCTTTCAGGTAGTGCTATTGTTTATTTAGTTAGCAACCAAATTTTGCTGTAAAAAAATCTTTATAACCGTAGGTGCAAGATCAGACAGCTTTCCTTCAGAAATTTTAACTTAGATTAGATCAGAGTAGCTAAACTCTTTATTGCTGAGTCACCCTTAGTAACCGTGCTAAACCTAAAACTCTGGTTTCTTCTGAGTCATGATGAAAAGTAGTATAAACAGATGCCACTAGTCTGTCTGGGAAAACAAAGGCTTTTGTTGATCAGAAGAAATTAAAAGTGGAAGAGTTTTGAGATGGCTATACTAATAGTAAATCTTGGAGAAGGAAGCAAAATTTAGATCACCTTAGGTCATCAGTTTACAGATAAAACTAAAGCAAAGAAATGAACTGTGGGTGCTGTGAGGACCTGCTTTGATTTCAGGGTTTTCCTAGGTAGTTCTGGATTGTTTAGATGTCTGATTTATGTTTTTATTTATGGCTTCCTACTCTCCATGGTTCCATTTCTGTATGTATTTTATACTTGCTGACATTTAAATCACAAACTAGATGGGCACGCATTGTGTGCATTTGCGTTACACTCAGCACACTGAATTCCTTACTTTATGAATAGGATTTCTAAACATTATGGGACAAGTTCTGCTTTTACCTCATACATGTGCGGGTTTGTTTTAATGAAATTCACCTCTGCAATTTTTATAAATTCACTTATCACTGGAGAATTCCATGAGATATTGTAGTCCAACCTTTTTTGTGATGAACCTTTGCAGGTACCTACTTAAGGATAGGTGAGAAGATTATATAAACCCACCTATGTATTCAGACTTTCTTTGGTTTCTGCATTTAGAAATAATAGTAATAACTGCTCCAGATGGAAGAGTTGGAAGTATTTCAATGAGACAGGAAAGGTGAAAAGGAAATTAGGTTTAAATTGGTTT